AGGAGGCAGGAGAGGCTCCCACCACCACCTCTGTACTGGCAGCCATCAGCCTGGCTTGTGGCTGAGCAGAGCTCCCCCATGTGAGAGCGCACTGACCACCAGAGGGCAGCTCCTGCATTGAGCATCTGCCCCCTGGTGGTCAGTGTGTGTCATAGTGACCAGTCATTCCCAGTCTTTCTGCTGTTAGGATCAGTTTGCATATTACCCTTTTACTATATAGAATAGAGGCCTGGTGCACAGGTGGGGGCCGGCTGGTTTGCCTTGAAGGGTGTCCCGGATCAGGGTGGGGGTCCCACTGGGGTGCCTGGCCAGCCTGGGTGAGGGGCTGATGGCTGTTTTCAGTCTGGCCACACCCCCTTTATGGTGGGGGTCCCCACTGGGGTGCCTGGCCAGTCTGGGTGAGGGGCTGAGGACCATTTTCAGGCTGGCGGGCGACTGAAGCTCCCAGCCTCTCCTTTTTTTCTTTTTTTTTATTCTGGGATTTATTTATCTTCTATAATTGAAACATTGTTGCCATCACTGGCACTCCAAGCTCTGAGGCCATGGCTGGCTGAAAGCAGGTATCTGGGGTTTGTTTAGCTTCTATAATTGAAACATTGTTGCTTCCAGAGCTCAGAGCCAGGCTGCGGCAGGCGGGGAACCTTGGTTTCCTCCATCACTGGAGCAAGCAAGCCTCATGTTCACTTCAGCTGCGTGGCTGCTGGCCGCCATCTTTGTTGGCAGTTAATTTGCATATCCTGCTGGTTAGCCAATGGGAAGCATAGCGGAGGTATGGTTAATTACCCTTTTTGTCTTTTATTAGATAGGATGTCTAGAACATCAAAGGAGATTAGTGGTTGCCTAGATCTGGGGGGCTGAGGATTGGGGGAAATGAGGAGCGACTGCTAATGGGTACAGAGTTTCTTTTGAGAGTGATTAAAATGTTCTAAAATTGTGGTGATGGACCCTAGCCGGTTTGGCTCAGTGGATAGAGCATTGGCCCACGGACTGAAGGGTCCCAGGTTCAATTCTGGTCAAGGACACATACAGGTTGCAGCAGTAGGCAACCAATCGATGTGTCTCTCTCACATCAATGTTTCTGTCTCTCCCCCTCCTTTCCACTCTCTCTAAAACAAACAAACAAAACAATGGAAAAAATCCTTGGGTGAGAATTAACAAAAAAATATATAAAAAAGTAAAATTTTGGTAATGTTTGCACAACTATGTGAATAGACTAAAAACCATTGAATTGCACAATTAAATGCATGAATTGTATGGTATGTAAATTACATCTTGATAGCAGCTATAAATTCATAGTAAGTGAAGTACGCAGTTTAAGTGTTCAAACAATCCATTGTTACAGGTAGAGAAGAAACTGGGGGGGCAGGGCAAAGTCACCCAAGTGGAGGGTGGGGATGAGGTAAAGTAGAAAGTAAGCTTGAAGGGGCCTCTCTAGAGCTTTGGGAGCCTGGAAGCTCTGTGGTCCTGGGAGGGCTGTGTTTGAAGGGGTTTGCTGCCATCCTGTGGAATTATTTAAGATTACATCTATGGGGACCAAGGCCTGATCGCTACCGTATCTGATTGAAGCTAACGGTTAGTAGGTGCTGTGCCCCATACAAGAGACAGGCCCAGCCAGCTGATAGGATAGGCTTGAAAAAAATAACTGCAATCTATCTATATACTTATTTGCATTGGTACCAGCAACAAGCTGTAGAAACAGAAGAAAACGTGAATCACTGAGGTCTGGAATTAAGGAAGGCTCCAAAGAGGAGTGGAGAAGGGAGAAAGGGCATCCAAGGCTGAAGACACAGCACAAGCAAAGGCTTGGAGGTGTGAAATGCATGATGGTGACATCCCTGAGCAGCCAGGAGGCTGTCACTTGCTGCATGGGTCCTGGCACTCAGTAGATGCTGAGTAAATATATAAATGCATGATTGCTAGGTTTGCAGAGCATAGCTTTTCGCACAATTGATGTATCTGAGGAAAGCTTTAGGTGGCTTGCTTACCAGGCAGAAAGGGAAACTAGCAAGAGGGTCAAATAGCCTGGAGCTCCTATAGAGGGAGAGAGTCTCTATGGAGTCCTTAGTGCCCCAATGATACTGACAACACCTCTGTTATTACTTCTTGTGGTGTTTGACAGATGCCTGCACACTACCTCATCTGAGTCTTCTCCCAGACCATTGAATAGATTAGGAAACTGAGGCACAGAGAGCCAGTAGAGCTGGGGTTTAAACCTGGGCCTCCTTGTTCTAAGCCCATGCTCTCTGATGACTTATCCGTGTACTGATGAGAAGGAGCAGGGGAACTTGGGGCAGGGGAAGGGGAAAAGGTATGGTCTAAATTGGCTGAGATAGAGATTTTCTTTTTGAATATTGAGGAGAGACTCAGGAATGCCAGACCCTGGAGTAGGAGGTTTGGGCATGTTCTAAAATGCAGGTTGGATTAGGAATCTGCCATAGCTCCCCACTGCTCCCAGAGCAGCCTGGTATCTAAGGTCCCTTCACGAGTAGTAGTAGCTCACTCAGTGATTAAGATCACTGGCCTGGCCCTGTGCCGAGCAGCTCAACTGGTTGAAATGTCCTCCCAAAAAGCCAAGGGTTCAGTACCCAGTCAGGGTCCATACAAGAATCAATCAATTAATGAATAAATAAGTGGAACAACAACTCACTCTCTCTCTCTCTCTCTCTCTCAGATCAATAAATTTAAATTTTAAAAAAGCACCAACTTGGGTATGTAATCTCTATGCCACCACTGTCCAGCTATGTGACGCAGTGGACAACCCTTAACTTCTGGTGCCATTTCCTTCTCTATAACTTTGGATGGCCCGGCCAGCATTGCTCAGTGGTTGAGCATCGACCTGTGAACCAGGAGGTCAGGGTTCAGTTCCTGGTTAGGGCACATGCCTAGGTTGCAGGCTCTATCCCCAGTGTGGGGCATTCAGGAGGCAGCCAGTCAATGATTCTCTCTCATCATTGATGTTTCTGTCTCTCTCTCCCTCTCCCTTCCTCTCTGAAATCAATAAAAAATATATATTTTTAAAAAAAGAAGCCATTTTGTTTATTTTTTTTGAACAAGAAGTTTATTTAAACAACAAGACACTTGACTTGAAGGGAAAACTATCTAGGATTCATTTTTTTTTTTTTTTTGTCTTTTCAAGCAAATGATACTTTTATTAACATGGTAACTTTTTTTAAACACATGGTAGGGCTGTGACCTCAAATACTTGTCAGGTCTGCTACTCCAATGAACTTCTAACTGGACAACTATGAACCTTAGATAGCCAGTCCCTGTCGGGTTTAGGGTCCAATGCAGACAGTCCTTGCTTTCCTTCCCCAGCCCCTCGAAGGCAAATCTCTCTTTCATTTTATCCCCTGAAATGCATCAGGGCCTTACATCAACTTGTGCAGAATACCGAGATCTCGTCCCCATCTAGGTTCCACGTCCCATAAAGCTGAGTTAGGTTGTCCAAACAAACTGACCAGACAGGTTACATCCGATAGTGTGCCACATAAAATTTAAATTTTGAACAAAATACATCTCTCCTCCTTTGGTCTCACACAGAAAGGAATTCAAGTCCCAAAATACAGGCAATGCCATCTTCCGCCTTCGGATTCACCAGTCCCAGCCAGATCAGCCCCGTTGGGGCCGGTGGAAGTCTGGTCCCTTCCTCAGCGTCTTCAGCCGCTGCTGCATGGAGTCCTCTCCCGGCAGCCAGCAGCCCTCGGTCCTGCAGAGCTGGACACCTCCAACTCCGGGTCTGGCGTCCCACACAGACCCCAAGTCCCAGGGAGCTATCGGGTCGCACAAGTAAAGAGCAAACAAAGCACCCCCAAACTCAGAAACAACCAAAGCCCAGGACCAATGCGACTGCTGCAGGAGCTCACAATCTAGGCGCACTTCCGCGTCGTGTCGGAGCATTTCCCAACTCAAAGTTACCTCCCCAAACAAAGACACCGCACAGGCAAAACTCATTGAGGTCATCCACCGCAGACCACAGCAGAAACGTAGTGTAAGTGAGGACAGAGTGCAGACGGAGGAAAGAGGGGGGAACAAAAGGCTCTCTGGTTTCAGCTTCTCCAGGGCGTCGGCCAATCTCCACCAGTCCACGGGAATCCGCTGGCTGGAAACCGCCGGCCGCTCAGGACGACTCGCTCTTCTCTATCCGCCGCACCAGCGCCACCAGCATCTCGGCCATCTCCATGACCTCCTGGGCCTTCTCGGCCTGGTCGCCGCGCCGCGCCCCGCACCAGCGCCACCAGCATCTCGGCCGTCTCCATGACCTCCTGGGCCTTCTCGGCCTGGTCGCCGCGCCGCGCCGCGCCCCGCACCAGCGCCACCAGCATCTCGGCCATCTCCATGACCTCCTGGGCCTTCTCGGCCTGGTCGCCGCGCCGCGCCCCGCACCAGCGCCACCAGCATCTCGGCCGTCTCCATGACCTCCTGGGCCTTCTCGGCCTGGTCGCCGCGCCGCGCCGCGCCCCGCACCAGCGCCACCAGCATCTCGGCCGTCTCCATGACCTCCTGGGCCTTCTCCTCGGCCTGGTCGCCGCGCCCGGGCCCTGCGGGTGGTTGAGCGCGCTCTGCTGCGAGGCCTCCAGCTGCGTCTGGATCTGCAGGAGCATGTGGTCCATCTCCCACAGCTTGCTCCGGCTGCGCAGGTAGGCGCGCCGGCTGGCGCATCTCGTGGATGACGGGCAGCAGGAACTGCTCGGAGTCCTCCTCGGGCTCCAGCACCTCCACCTCCTCCGGCTCCGCCAGCTCGACGATGTCCAGGGGCCGCATCCTCCTCGCTCCTCCGGGGACCGCAGGGTCGTCGCCGGGCGCAGAGCAGCCGCGAACAAAATCTAGGATTCATTTTTTAAGAGTAATTTATCCCTACTTAAAGACAGATTGCCCTCCATGTAACAGCTACATACAGAAAAATTATAAAATTGTCCTTGGTTTTACAATGATAAATGAAAAACATTAAAATTCTCCAATCAAACAAGGTATGCAAGAATTTTTATGTTGTTCTTTTTTTGTTAAACAGTGAGAGCCAAATAACTTACTGGAATATAAAGATAAGAGCTGGATGAGCATGCCACTAATGGAAAAAGAGGGTGTTTTCACAGAACCAGTATTTTTTCCCCATCCCACCCCCTTTGATGTAGATCAAAACATACCATTGGCCATTTAGTTAAAAAAAAAAAAATGCAAATGCCTGTGCACATACTTCAGTTACTTTATATACAATAAAGGAATGGGTAAGAGGAAAATGAAAGAATAGAGAAAACTATACTGTAGCCGTCAGATGTGTTGAAACCCAATTGCAGTTTTCCAACTGAGAATGTCTTCTTGGTCTGGAGGAACAGAGTTCTGGAGTAAAGCAGCAGGTTCCCTTTTTGGTAGACACCTCCTGTCTGCTGCTGGAACACATCAATTGCATCTTCCTCCTCCATTTCCAACTGTGCAGGTGTGTCTGTTTCATTGATTGGCTGCCGTCAAGTCAGAATCTGATCTGCCCCATTGACAAAACCTGTCGTTCACAATAGGCTTTCATTAGTTTACTAAGTGGTGTGTGCCTCTTCATCTTGAACTGCACCACAGAACCATCCTGCCCCACCACCTTCAAATTAATATGATCGTTGTTCTCAGTCTTGACTCCTTCCTTGGGCTTTTCGTCGGCCATGGCGAGCGTCAGAGTCTCCGCAGCTGCCGCTTCACAAAGGAGGCACCGGGTCTGCACCAAACGAGCACATGAGCGCACCAGCAGTGGCAGAAGAAGGAGGCGGCAGCAGTGGAGGAGGGAGAGGGCGGCGCACCCATCTTCTTTAAAAAGTCTACACTAATAAAAGAGAAACATGCAAATTGGTGTCACTCTGCTACACCCACCAGCCAATCAGAGCAACTATGCAAATTAACCCAACAAAGATGGCAGTTAATTTGCATATGCAGGCACAGAGTGAAGACTGAAGGCTCTGGCCCAACTGAAAACTGAAGGCTGAAGACTGAAGACTGAAGAGGCTTGGCTTCTCCACTGTGGCTGGACCAAAGGCCTGGTCCCGGGTGCCAGAAGAAAACCGGTGCCGGCAGTGAGGGGAAGGAAGGCCTATTGCACGAATCTCTTCATGCAACGGGCCTCTAGTCCTATCTAATAAAAGAGAAACATGGTAATTGGCGTACGACCGCTACCCTTCCCATTGGCTACTCAGGGCAATATGCAAATTAACTGCCAGCCAAGATGGCGGCTGGCAGCCAGGCAGCTTGAAACTAACATGAGGCTTGCTTGCTTCAGTGACGGAGGACTCCAACGTTCCCCGCCTGCCTTGCTGGCCTCTGAGCCTGCAGTTTAAGAAACATTGTAACAAATATAGAAGCTAAACAAAACCCCAGAAACCTGCTTTCAGTGAGCCGGGATCTCAGAGCTGGAGTTGATACAGAGTTTCGATTATAGAACTGAAACAAACCAGATACCTTCTTTCAGCAGCAGAGGCCTCAGAGCTGGAGCCAGAGCTGAAGCTGGCCCAGAATAAAAAAAAAAAAAGAAAAAAAAGGAGCAGTTGGGAGCTTCAGTCCCAGCCTGAAAACAGCCCTCAGCCCCTCACCCAGACTGGCCAGGCACCCCAGTGGGGACCCCCACCCTGAAGGGTGTGTGACCAGCTGCAAACAGCCATCATCCCCTCATCCAGGCTGGCCAGGCACCCCAGTGGGGACCCCCACCCTGATCCAGGACACCCTTCAGGGCAAACCAGCCAGCCCCACCCATGCACCAGGCCTCTATCCTATATAGTAAAAGGGTAATATGCCTCCCAGCACCGGGATCAGCGGAGCCCCGAGGCCTCCAGGCACCGGGATCAGCATGACAGGGGGCAGCGCCCAAACCCCCTGATCGCCCTGTGGCTCTGTGTGTGACAGGGGGTGGGGCCACAACCTCCCTATCGGCCCTGCTCTGTTCATGACAGGGGAAGGCGCCCCAACCCCCCCACCCCACGGGCCCTGCTCTGTGTGTGACAGGGTAGAGCCATAACCTCCCCATCAGCCCTGCCCTGAGTGTGAGACTGGCGGCGCCCCAACCCCCTGATCGGCCCTGCTCTGTGGGTGATAGAGGGCGGCACCCCAACCCCCTCCCCCCGCATGGGCCCTGCTCTGTGTGTGATGGGGTAGAGCCATAACCTCCCTATTGGCCTTGCCCTGAGTGTGACAGTGGCGGCGCCCCAACCCCCTGATCGGCCCTGCTGTGTGTGTGACAGGGGGCGGTGCCCCAACTCCCCTATCAGCCCTACTCTGTGTGTGACAGGGGGGAGTTCCCCAACCCTCTTTTGGGCCTTTCTCTGTGTGTGACAGGGGGGAGCTCCCCAACCCCCTGATCGACCCTGCTCTGTGCGTGACAGGGGGGAGCTCCCCAACCCCCTGATCAACCCTGCTCTGTACATGACGGGGCAGTGCCCCAACCCTCTGATTGGCCCTGCTCTGAGCCTGACCAGGGGCTGCACCTAGGGATTAGGCCTGCCCTCTGCCACCCAGGAGCAGGCCTAAGCCAGCAGGTCGTTATCTCCCGAGGGGTCCCAGACTGTGAGAGGGCACAGGCCTGGCTGAGGGACCCCCCTCCCCCCAGTGCACACATTTTTGTGCACCGGGCCTCTAGTAATAACACCCAGCCGGTGTTGCTCAGTGGTTGAGTGTCCATCCATGGACCAAGAGGTTGCTGGTTCAGTTCCCGCTGACAGGGGCACATGCTCAGGTTACAGACTCCATCCCCAGTAGGGGGTGTGCAGGAGGCAGCCAACTGATGATTCTCTCATCAGTGATGTTTCTATGTCTCCCTTCCTCTCTCTCAAATAAATATATTTTTAAAAAAGATAACACCCACTTCACAGATTATTGTGAGCAATAAACAAGTCCTAATGTTGTGGCCCCACCCCCTAACAAAGAAACAGAATTTCTGGAGGATGAGGCCCAGAAATCAAGATTTTAAAAAGATTCCCCTCCACTCCCCCCCCCCCCCCCCCCGCCCAAAAAAAGATTCCCAGGTGATTCTAATGTGCAGCCAAGGTTGAGAACCACTGCTCCAAGCAGAAGCAACTGCCCCACCCTGTTGATAAAACTCTCGCCACACCTGAGGACAATTGCCTGGGAGGCAATTCAAGTTGGAATCCTATTACAGTATTCAAAATAGATGGTCAAATAAAGAATTCCCAGACAAAAGAAGGCTAAAGGAGTTCAGCACCACCAAGCCAGCATTACAAGAAATGCTAAAGGGATTGCTGTAAGGGATTGCTGAGAAGAAACAGAGAGAGAAACCTAGCCATACAGAATTTAAATGGCTATAAATAAGTACCTCTCAATAATAAACCTAAATGTAAATGGATTAAATGTTCCAATCAAAAGATGTATGGTAGCTGAATGGATACAAAAACATGACCCAACTATATGCTGTCTACAAGAGACCCACCTCAAAGCAAAAGACACACACAGGATGAGAGTGAAGGGATGGAAAAAAAATTTCCATGCAAATGGAAAAGAAAAAAAAGCTGGAGTAGAAATACTCATATCTGACAAAATAGACTTTAAAAGCATCATTCTAATCGAAATAAGCCAGTCAGAGAAAAATAAATATCATATGATCTCACTCATTTGTGGAATATAATCTATATATATAAAAGCCCAGCAACCGTTATGGCAGAACAACCAGAATGACCAGAACCACCAGAATGACTGTGGCTGTGACGTGCACTGCGGCAGCCAACCAGCCTAATGCGGGCGGCGATCGGCGCTCCCTCCCGGCAGGTCCAGCCCCCGATCAGCCCCCAACACCCCTAAATCATTGCCTCACTCCCTGGTGCGTGTACATTTAGTGCAAGCAGAAGAAAATAATTATCAGTCCCTTCTGACCCCAACCAGAGTCTCCAGAGGGCTCTGCTGATACTGCAGCCAAGGTGTGGAATTCTCCCTCCACGGTCCACAGCCCAGGAGACCTTCCAAGTTAGCCAAAAAGGCAACCTAAGCATTAAGGGGATGGTGGCCCTTTGCTGAGAAATGTAGAGAGGCTGGGTGGGTATTTTGTGAAATTGTGGTGCCTTGCAGATTAGGTGAGCTTTCAATCTCTCTTTAAATGGGGCAGCAAAGAGGACCTGCAGGCTGCCAGGAGCAACATCAAAGGGTAGGAACATTCAACAACAGAAAAACTTTTAAATAAACAAACATAAAGATCATATTGGGAAACTGAGGGCAGAGCCCTGGAAAGAACGCAAAAATCATTAAAGGGCCATCAACCATCTTGATATACGTTTGCAAACAACACCTAAACAACTTCATCTCATGGCACGTGAAATGCAAAACAGTTCTGTTGTGGGTTTTCTTTTGGCCATCATTAAAGTATAATTAGATCCAGCTGGAGGAAAGCTATAGCTTCCAATGTTAGACCCCATGGCTGGCCCCGCCCCCAATTGGCCCCCATGGGGGCAGGCTGGATGGGCCCCACCCATGCACAAATTCATGCACCGGGCCTCTAGTGAACAACATAAATTGACGGATAAAAAAGAACCAGAAGGATGCCAAAACCGGTTTGGCTCAGTGGATAGAGCGTCGGCCTGCGGACTGAAAGGTCCCAGGTTCAATTCCGGTCAAGGGCATGTACCAGGGTTGCGGGCACATCCCCAGTGGGAGATGTGCAGGAGGCAGCTGATTGATGTTTCTCTCTCATCGATGTTTCTAACTCTCTATCTCTCTCCCTTCCTCTCTGTAAAAAATCAATAAAAAAAAAATATATATATTAAAAGAACCAGAAGGAAAAAATATTCTAGAATATAATAGAAGGAATCCTGATATTTGCAGATTTTTAATATTTCCTACAACTTTTGTGATACCATACTATGATAGTACAGTTTTGGTAATATACTTAAAATCCTTTTATTCTTGAACTATTAATGTTTATTCATGTAATATTATTATATGTAAGATCATTTTTCTTTTTTTAGATCATTTTTCTTGAATAATTGGTGTTTATTGCATGTAATATTATATTTAAGATCGTTTTTCTTGAGATATTAATGTTTGTTGCATGTAACATTACATTTAAAATCGTTTTTCCTGAAATAAAAAAACTGGGGGAAAAAGAATATCATAATGACTTAATTTGAACTAAATTTTTTTAAAAATATATTTTATTGATTTTTTACAGAAAGGAAGGGAGAGGGATAGAGAGTTAGAAACATCGATGAGAAAGAAACATCGATCAGCCCTCTCCTGCACACTCCCCACTGGGGATGTGCCCGCAACCCAGGTACATGCCCTTGACCAGAATCGAACCTGGGACCCTGAGCCAAACCAGTTAGGGCTTAAACTAAATTTTTATCTTCTAGAATTTCACTAAATAAATCACAGTAATTAGTGGGGGGAAGAAAGAACTCAGGACCATGCTTGCTATTATTATTATTATTATTATTATTATTAACAAATCCTAATTTTTGGCTCCCATCATTGACTCTGATCCTCCAGGTTGAGATTGTGGCTTCTCTGGAACAAGCTATGCATAGTGTTGCCTCCAGGCCTTTCTGCAAGACGTTCCTTCAGCCTGGAATGATACCGCTCCACCATCCCTGCTTTCCGGATCCTTCCACACAGCACCTCTTCCCAGTCCTTCCTGATCCTCTCCAGCTAGAACCACCTCTCCTCTACACCTGGCATAACCCTCATCTCCTCC